AGCTTGGGCTGTTGTTGACCAGGAGACAAAACACTCTTGGACTTGGTTCATTAAAAATTTGATTTCAGACTTGAACTTAGGAGATGGAGTCGGCTTAACAGTTATGTCAGATATGCAAAAGGTATTCTCTTTTAACTAATCTATTTCTATTTGTATAATGTAATGTTTCTGCATTTTATTGTTGACTTAAATTGTTATTTTGTTGTTTTGTAGGGTCTGGTTCCAACTATTAGTGAGTTATTACCTAATGTAGAGCACAGAATGTGTGCTCGACATATTTGGACTACTTGGGCCAAAAACTGGAGAGAGGAAGAAAGAAGAATGCAATTTTGGAAATGTGCTAAGTCTTCATATGAAATAAAGTTCAAGGAAGAAATTACAAACATGGCAAAACTTGGTAAGAAGGAGATATATGAAGACTTACTCGCATATAACAAAGAATGTTGGTGTAAGGCTTACTTTTCTACATGTTCTAAATGTGATGTTGTTGAGAATAATATGTGTGAAACCTTTAATTCTTGGATAGTAGGACCAAGACATAAGTCAATTATTACTATGTTAGAGGAAATTAGACACAAAATTATGAATAGGCATGTTGATATAAGGAGATTTGTTGAGACCTGGATAACAGACATTTCACCAATGGCAAGGTTAATATTAGAAGAAAACAAAGAGCTTTCTAGGAAGTGTAAAGTGTTGTGGAATGGAGATTCTGGATTTGAAATAGGTGATGGTGACAAAAGATTTATTGTTGACTTAATAAGAAGGCCATGCACATGTAGAACTTGGCAGTTGAGAGGCATTCTGTGTGCTCATGTTGTTTGTGCTTTCTATGACTTAGACCAAGAACCAGAGAATGAAGTCGAGGATTGGTACAGACAGAATGGGTTTGTAAAGGCTTACCAATATGTCATACAACCCATGCCTAATATGAAGATGTGGCCTGAAACAAACAACCCCTCTATTGAACCTCCTGAACCAAAACCAATGCCAGGAAGACCTAAAAGATACAGGAGAAAGTCAAAGGATGAGCCAAAAGAGAAATATGGAAAGTTGTCAAAGAATGGGGTGAAAATAACTTGCTCAAAGTGTCATCAATTGGGCCACAACAGAACTTCTTGTAAATTAGTGGTAATTGTTACTTTATGCTACTTTATTTTTATAGATTTTGATGTATAACTGACTATGTATTGTTGTTTTGTAGCCTGGATCAACTTCCAATCAGCCAAGTCAACCAACTCAACAATCTCAACCAATCCCACCAGCTCCAAGTAGATCATTTCAAACTAGCAATCCACCTTCAATATGTAATGACACATCCGTAGTGAAAAGAGTAGCCAAAATCAGTCTACTGGTATAGGCAGGGGAAGGGGTAGAGGTCTGGGACTTAAAAGGCCAAGGCCATCAACAGGTTTTGGAGTATATACAGACATTAGGAGTGGAAGAACAATTATCAATGTAAGCTTGAACTTGTATTACTTTGCTATGGCTTTTATCAATTTAAGTAGTGACTGATTGATATCATTTTATAGCCCAGTATACCTTCTGAGAGAGTGATAACACCTGGAACTTACAAAGATACATCTGCAACAAATATAGATCTTGGATTTAAGCCTCGTGGTCACAAATGGAAGGGGAAAAATGCAGTAACAACTTCTCAACTACAGCAGATGCGAGCAACAAGGAATATAGGGTCTTCTCAACAAAATGGAAGCAACATGTAGTGTCTTCCTTCTGATAAAAACTTGTTTGGCACCATGTGAGGTGTTATGTTTTTTGCAGTTTTGTTTCAAGAATGTGATTTAAACACATTGTTATATTTTTGGCTTTGGGCAGCTTTGTTAAGTCTGCAAGTTGCAAAAACAGTTAGCTTTTGGCAGCTTTGTGAAGTGTTATGTTTTTTGTGTTAAGTCTGCAAGTTGCAAAAATAGTTGGTTTTTGGCTTTTGGTTTTGCCAATATTCATCGACTTAGAGTTATACGTTTTGCCAATATTCATGGCTTTTGGCTTTTGATTTTGCCAATGTTATACGTTACTCCCCACAAAATATGATTTTCTTTTTATCTTTGATTGGTTTATATTGGATATTTATGTATCTACCGAATAGCTAATTACTTGGATATTTGGTTGGTGCAAAAAACTGTATTGCCAAAATTCTGGAAATTTACCGATCTATTGAGTTACTTGAAATCAACAAACAAGAAATTTTGCAATTGACCAAATTGATTTATCACCAACTAATATGAACTTTTGAAACTTGAAAGGGCTGACCAATTACATCAATTTGACTCAAATTACATCAATAAAACCTGGAAAAACCTAGCCAATTCCATAACATGAACACACCAAGAAACACAACTAACTTCTTCCACATAGCCAACTTTGCATCTCTTTCTTTTACTTTGTTTAGCAAACCATAAATAACCTTGTTCGCTTGAGCTGGAAACTCATCATCATGCCATCTAAAATAATTGCAGTCACGCTGTAAAACACAAGAAAAAAGCAAATAAATCAAAGTAAATAGAGACAAGAAAATAAGAACACTAAAAATAAAATTCGAAAATGGTTTACTTACTTTGTTAAATTTACACCCATAAAAGCGACGACCTGGATTTCTTGGTGTCCATGATACTTTTAGTTCAACTTGAAATCCACAACAACAAATATCCATTCCATTGTGAGAAAATAATTTTCTTTGAGACATGAATTTACTTCAAACTTCAAGCTTAGTTGAAATAAACCCACAACAAAGAAATCAGATTAAATAAATGGGGCAAAATATGAAATCGACAGATTGGCCTTCAAACTTGGCTCTTTGAAACTTTGAGAGTGAAGATGGGGCAAAGTAAATAAAGAAGGAAAATAATGAAGATGAAATAATGGGGAAGGAAGATGGGGGATTAAATATGGGGCCAACATTTATGTTGTTACCGTTGGAGATGGAAATTTGGCTGAAAAAATCTCCCTTACGCGCCTACAAGGTGTGGCAAATCACACACTCAATCTAGTCAGCTTTTGTGTTAAAGTGGAACACAAACAATGGAGTTTGGAAGGCCAAATGGAACAAGACTAAGTTAGAGTGCCAAAATAAAAAATTGGGCCAAGTTTAATGAGTTGTCTATGTATTTGGCCTTTATTATACTTTAAAATAGTTCAAGGGGGTAATGAAAAAGTATATCGCTGAAACTTTGGGTATAGTTCAAGGAGGTACTTATGCATTTTTCCTAAATATAATGAAGAAAAGGGAAAGTTATAGATTAACAATTCGAGACTGTTATAGACTTCATTGTTATGTTTTTCATATGTAAATGTATTTCGTTTTTCTTTTCTAAAGAATACTACGAAATTACACCTCAACATTTGCTACTTAAGTCTTGAATCAGAAATAAATCCTAGTTGGTACAAAATTATTTAGTTGCTCTTCTGTGATACTTACGCAAAGCAAGTGATTTTTATTAGGGATTTTGGCATTGTATAACAACTTAGTTCAATAATTGGTAGAAAATGGCCAATCTTTTAGCATTTGACACAAGTAGCCAAAATTTAACATTTAATGATCTTCTCTCTCTTCTAATGGTCCAACCATCACCCTAAAAATAGACTTTCATTTCCTTTTTGTTAGAATTTTCACCCAAATCTCTACAATCCTTTTTCTAAGTTTTTAAATTATTTCTCACAAGCATTAAAAATATTAAAAATTATAAATATAGTTTTTATATCATACTGTATATCCAAGTGTATACACACACATATACACATATGTATATATATATATATATGTGTGTGTGTGTGTGTGTGTGTGTGTGTGTGTGTGTTAGGACCTGAGGAATTGTATACACATATTAATTTGTCGCTTTATGTTAGAGCTTCACTCCTCTGTACTTGATGGGTAATACTGAGTAAATCAATCGTAGAGCCAATCCACCATTTTAATCTCATTTGGAATCCAACCCATAAAGCACAGCGAACCAAAAAGGGGGGAGAGGGGGGGGGGNTAACTAAGATTGGAGGTTCAACTAAAGAAGAGGAAGCTTGAAAAGAGAAGATAGATTTTAGATAGGAGAACTTGTTTTGGAAAGAAGGCTTTCTTGATTTTGGCTTGCTTAAAAATAAACAAGATACCCCATATTTATACTAGCCTATGGATGATTCTAGATAATGTACAAAGAAGATTCTAGCAAACTTATCTTCTAACAACACTCTAGAATATCTAGATATATCTTATCTTCTCACAACATTCTAGAACATCTAGATATGTCCACTAGATAAATATTAAGGATACTAAACTAGGGCATTCTAGAGAATTCTATATTATTCCAAAAAATTAGCTTTATTTTTTTCACAGGAGCAACGAACGAAAGGAGGGGGAAAAGCAACGAACAAGGGAAGGGAGGGAGAGATGGGGGGAGGCAACGAACAAGAAGGGGGAGGGGGACCAACGAACAATAGAGGGGGAGGGGCAGCAAACAGTGAGGGGAATAAATAGTAAAATAGGATTTTTGGGATTTGGCTATATAATGCCAATTATTTGGGGCTGCCTTTGCCAAAACCTAATATAAAGCTAAAAAATTGTCAATTCTTCTTATATATTGTCATTAAGTGTCATTTTTTCTATTTATTTTTTCAATTTATTTTACAAAATACTATTCTTTTCGGTCCACAATAAGTGATCATTTTATCTTTTTATTTTGATTCAAAATAAGTGTCTATTTATATAATCAAGAAGGAATTAATTTATTTTTTTAAAATTTGCCCTTATTTAGTCAAGATAATAATTAATTAAGATTAATTTAGTGAAGATACCTTTTATTCTTTAGGAGTTACTACTTTCTTAATGAGTGTACCAAAATCCAAAAGTAAAATAGGTGGACCAGAGGAGAGTATAATTTAGTAACTTTAGGTTGTAATAAAGTAAGAATTGGGTGATTATCCATAAAATTTCTAAGCCATACACGTGGAAAAAAAACAAACAAAGAAAAAAATAAAAAGAAGATACAAAAATCTACACTCTTCAGCTGCCGGACAAAACTCAACAATGGAAAGAGCAACACCTGTACGAAAGCCACCACACCTCCACCGTCTATCTGCTGACGTGGACGGAGGTCCCGCCGGCGAACAACTTCCCCCTCCACTGCCGCCTCCGGCAATGTCTCTCGCTCCGGCGATCGTTCTCCACCACCGGCGACCAATTCCCACAGTTTCGACGGTAAATGTTTTGATTGTTACACAACAACAAGCTATTGATTCAAGCGAAGAGCATTATTAAGGAAAGTGGCAAATTTTCCATTCTTTTTATTTTTTCCATTATTACTCAGTTCTGTCTCAATATTACACGTATTTGTTCTACCAATTGTTGTCAATTGCTATCCTTGACTGGTGAGAGGATTGCTGGTCTGCTACAGGGGCTATAGTTATTTTTCTGAAAAAATAAAAAAAACAATAGTGAGAACTTTTGAAAAATAAAAAGTGTATTCTGGAATTTTTTTTAATCACCCAGAAATGTCGAGGCTAGTGGCACATGATTCCAAACTCGGGTTAATGGACCCGCCCCTTTAGCAATAGGCCACCATATTTGCTTGCAGAATCTTTTTTTTAATTATTATTATTATTATTCGTCTTTTCCTCTTCTTGAGCCAGACCTCTCAATAAGGTCTGCATACACACTAGCCTTCCAGACCTACTAGTGAGATTTTACTGGATCATTATTATTGTTATATTTATTTATTCAAGCCATAAACCCAGGGTATGCTGCCCTATGGTGGTGGGTTTTGGCCATCAAAATTTAGTGGCAGGTAACCAAGCAAGCTAATATGAATTTAGAGTTTCTGATTAACCAGCTACTCCCTCCATTTCGACTTTGATGATATAGTTTGACTTAACATGTTTTTTTCTAATATTATTGTCGAGTCGAGGGTCTCCCGGAAACAGCCTCTCTACCCCTCCAGGGTAGGGATAAGGTCTGCGTATACTCTACGCTCCCCAGATCCAACTAGTGGGATTTTATTGGGTGGTTGTTGTTGTAGTTTGACTTGACACAAAGTTTAAGGGATAAAAAGATAACTTTTGTGAAATATGTGGTGCTAAAAGCTTAGGGTGCAAAAGTTTAGTGGGTCATGATATTTGTGTAGCTATAAAAGCTTGTGTAGAATAGAAAGTTTAAAGTTAAATTTATTTCTAAATATAGAAATGTATAATTCTTTTTGGAACACTGGAAAATGTGTCATTTAAATTGAAAAGGAGAGAGTAATTATTGATTAAGCCAGTGATTGTCATCCCATTTTTATAAAGTCAAGTCTTTCTTTGTTTAATATAAAATTAACTTGGTGGTAATATGATTGCAGACACCATTTCAATCAGTCCAAGGTATGCCATCTTTCTTTGTCTTCCCACTTCTTTCTTTGACTTATTAATCTCTAATCTCCATTAAAACCAGCTAAGTGAAAGTACTATATATAACCAACTTGATTTGTAATATACTAACACCCATGTGGTATAATATTGTATTTCCCTAATTGAAGTTGTCATCTCATCCAAATTAGTCAAATCTTTAGTTCTTGTTTGCAATTTACTTGGTAATTTGTTTGCACATACCATTTGAGGTATGCCTTTTTTATGTCTTCTGAGATCTTTTTCTTGGTTACTGTACTGTATGTTTTGTGCTTTATCCATTTGTTGATTGTTATTCATATTAAGTTTCTTATATATGTTTCTCCAAGTATTTCTTATATTAAGTTTTAGCTTTTTGCGCTACTACAAATCTAATTTTAGGATAGATCTAATTTTCTTCCTTTTTAAACTAGGGAAAAGTATACATCAAAGTTTGCAGTTCACCTCTTGAATAATAGTTTCAACTTTGCCTACCTGATATAAAGAGTTCATTTGTGGAACTTTAATGCTTTCTAATTCTATTTAAAGATATAATTTGACCAGAATTTTCAAGTAAAGTTCCCTTTCCAGATTTTGATGTTGGAAAATCCAAGGGTGCAATATGTTGGATTTTATAGAGATCTGATGTTCCAAGTTTAGCTCTTTTTGACTTGCTGCAGTATTTTCTTCATACTGCTTTTTAATAAAACAAAAAAAAGTAGGGTGCAATATGTGGCAAGGTTTCCTTAGTATTTCTTTCATTACAGATACATACTATTCAATCCGTTTCAATCTATGTGACACACTTTCCTTATAAGTTCACTCCAAAAAGAATGACACTTTTTTATATTTAGCCACACAAATATTAACATGTTTATGACCACAAGTTTCAAAAGTCTTATAGCCACATAAATGTTATGATATATTTAAGATTACAAGTTTCAAAAATCTCTTTTTCCTTAAATTCCGTGTCAAGTCAAACTATGTCGCATAAATTGAAACGGAGGGGGTAGTTGCTATCGATTTACTTTAGGAAGTAGCTTTCATCTCATAGCATCTCGCTTGTTATGGAAAATACTGTGTTGGTTAGGTCTTCAATGGCTCGCTTGTTATGGAAAATACTGTGTTGGTTAGGTCTTCAATGGGTAATGCCAGGCATGGTCAAAAAAGTTCCATTTGGCTGGACCTTAGTTGCTCCAGGAGCACTGATGTGGACCGTATGGAGAGAGTAATAGGATTGTTTTTGATTGAATTGAGAAGGATTTTGTACACTTGAGGAGTAGCCTTTTATCCCTTATTTCCTTTTGGCGCACCCACGTGATTCCTGTAGTTATAGAACATCGTTCGTACAGAACCATAGTTTTTTGTGCATTGAATGTGAAGGATAGTTTTAAGAGATTAATAACCTAGAAATATGGGTACCAGATCTAGTAAAGACTATTGTTTCACTTATCTTTAACCAAATTCTGAGGATTAGAGATCAAAGTTTATAAGTAGTGAAAACCCATGTTTAGTAACATTGATGACATGAACATGAAATAGACGCAATGTTTTTTGAAGATACAAAAAACTCTCGATTTCTTTTTAAATGATCAAGTCGTAGAATCGATTGAGATTTGAGACAGTGATGGCTGAAAATCTACCCGATGTTCTCTCTGTTTTTGCCTTCCCTTTTGCAACTTTATTGATCATGTTATATATACCATTGACGTCCTAAATCTTGCAGCTTTCAGGTCATAATTGGAATAGAATAGATATGGCTTATGCTAGTATTGCTTCTCTTATGAGAATGATAGAACTACTCTTGACATCCAAGTCGCCAATGCAATCTCTAATTTGCGACCACAAAGAAGAATTTCTCGCTCTTCAGAGAAAAGTTAGTTCCCTGGAAGTATTTCTCAAGAATTTTGACAAAAGCAATGATACTGAGAAAATGGCATATTTGGAAGCGCAGATAAAAGACGTCACAAATGCTGTGGAACACACAATTCAACTGACACTAACAGAAGCTGTAATGGCAAATGATGAAATGCATAAAGAAAAGGAACATAAGAGGCTTTTTGATAGCCTAAAACAAGTAGCAGAGGACATTGATCATGTCCAGAATGAGTCACCAAACATTCAAGATTATAATACGGCGAGCCATTATCAAAGGAAATGGTTGCTGGAAAAACTGACACAATATGATGGCTCGTCTGATCTCAAAGTCATCTCGATCATCGGGATGGGGGGCATCGGTAAAACGACTTTAGCAAAAGAAGTTTACGATTATGAATCAATTCGATTTCATTATGATGTTCGTGCCTGGACTACTGTATCTCAAAAGTATAATGTAAGAGATATCCTGGAAAGCCTTCTGCATTCTGCAATGGGTCGCAAATTTTACATGGATGATGAGTTAGATCTAGCTGACAGGCTACGAAAAAGTTTAATAGGTAAGAGATATTTAATTGTCATGGATGACATGTGGAGCAGTAACGCATGGGATGACGTGAGACATTGCTTTCCATGTAGGAACAATAGGAGTCGAATATTGTTGACTACCCGTAACAAAAAATTAGCTTATTATGCTGGTACAGAGAATCTTTCTTTGCAGATGGACCTCATGGACCCAGATGAGAGTTGGAACCTTGCAAAAAGTATGGTGTTTGCAAATGAAGCATTACCGTATGAGTTTGAGACTATTGGGAAGCAAATTGTAGAGTATTGCACAGGGTTACCATTAGCTATTCTCGTGATTTCTGGGCTTCTCTCCAGATCTAAACGGACAATCGAAGATTGGGAAAATATTGCTGAAGATGTCATGTCATTTGTCACAAAAGATCCATATGAACGATATCGACATGTGCTTGGGTTGTGTTACAATCACTTAACCAGTGACCTAAAAGCATGCCTTCTGTATTTTGGGATTTTTCCAGAAGACAGTGAGATTTCGGTGAAGGGTTTGGTGAGATGCTGGATGGCTGAGGGCTTCTTGAAGTCAGAAAAAGACTTGGAAAAAGAGGCTGAAAAGTGCTTACATGATCTTATCGACAGACATCTAGTTCTTGTATGCAAGAAAAGTTTGGATGGCACAAAAATTAGATCATGTAAGGTTCATGATCTAATACATGAGCTGTGCTTGAGAGAATTAGCTCAAAGCCAAGACATTTTTGTCATGAAAGACATTGTTTTTGATAAATCATATGAAGATGATGATTTGGATGAAGGTGATGATTCGGGTGGAGATGGTGATTCAGATGCAAAAAAAGCTCAAAGCCATGCTTTTTCTCCAGAATGTCATCATCTCAGTACGCATAAAATGCAGCCCTTTAAGCGATGGACTGATGATGGAATGTGTTTGGCCCTTCTTACCCCCGAACATGATCATTTGATAAGCAGGCAGACAGATGATGATGATTACACTCTCTTAAAACGAACTCGTTCCATTTTCTCTTTTTTGTTTAATTCAACTTTTACTCTCAATTCAGAGCTTATTCATTTTAGTTTACTTAGAATCTTGGACTTGGTTACCACAGACTTAGAAAGTTTCCCTCCACAGATACTATGTCTCATTTGGTTGAGGTACCTAGCATTGTCCGGCATCGGCGAGGATTTTTACGTACCTCCAGAAATTTACAGATTATGGAATCTGCAAACACTCATTGTTAAACGGGATAGTCCTAGATATGTGACTTTTACGGAGAAAATTTGGGAACTGATGCAATTAAGGCAGCTAAGACTACATAAATATTATTTGTCAAATCCTCCAAGGGAATCTGATGACGAGGAGAGCTACTTGGCTTTTTCAAACATACATACTGTTTCTGGCTTGTCTCCAAGTAGTTGCAGAAAGGAGGTTATTTCAGGGATTCAGAATGTTAAGAAGTTAGTAATCTATGGACATGTCAGTGACTATAAAGTCTTTCAAGAATCTAGACTTTTCAACAATCTTGTCCATCTACATCAACTTGAAACATTGAGTCTTGCACTTGTTCGTAAGTGGGACTCATCAGAAAACTGGCGGATTTCACCAGCGACTATTCCAAGTGCAAAAGCTTTTCCAGTAACACTCAGGAAGTTAAAGCTGGAGGAAACTTCTGTAAGGTGGGAGGACTTGAACATTGTAGGTGAGTTGCCTAACCTTGAGGTGCTGAAGCTGATGTGGAATGCTTGTATTGGCGAAGAATGGTATCCAATTGAAGGAGGATTTACTCGATTGAAGCTTTTGCTAATTGAGCATTGTGATCTCAAGTACTGGAAAGCCACAGATGACAATTTTCCCGTCCTTGAGCGCCTCTTGATTAGAGAGTGCCATATGTTGGAAGAGATACCCATTGAGTTTGCAGATATTTACTCACTGCAACTCATTGAGTTAACTGACTGTACAACC